CTTGTCAAGAATAGTTTGATTTTTCTTTCTTCCACATCATTTTGTTGAGGAGGGTACGGTGTAGTTAGAAATCTCTTTATGCCTTGCTCTTCAAAATAATCCAAGAAAGTTGTCAAAGCATACTCTCACCTCTATCGGATCATATGGCTGTGATATGTCTACCGATTGCCTTCTATAATCACTTTGAATTTTTTAAACACCTCGACTGCATTGGATTTCTTTTTTTTAAAAAAAAAAATCCAAATTTTTCGTGAGAAATCATTAATTAAGGAAATAAAGTACATATTTCAATGAAAGTTTCGGGACTAATTGGTCCACGTATATTGGGATGAATCAACTCGAAAATGGAAATATATATTTTAGTGATATTGGTTGCACTAATTGAGATAGCCAAACAAGAAAAGGTTTACCTATCAAGGATCGAACAAAATTTTATTAGTAAAATCGAGAAATAAATAAAAAAAGTGCAAAAGATTAAAAAATTTGAGAAAGTAGAAAATGAAACTTTAAGACCCTAAACAATCTCGGATGGCCGAAAAAACATCGGACATCAATCGAGTTTGGTTTGTTGGTCCAATTTGAATAACCTATTCGAATTTTGTCCAATTCCGACCAAAAATACGAAAAAAATGAAACACTAGCCAATTGCGTCATTTAGTGTCTTTGTTCAACTCTTCTACAACATAATAGGGTTAGAAGCTGCATTCTTAGAGTAATTAATATTTGAAACAAACAATGTTTTTTGGAAAATGAATTGAATAAACTGCCCAAATCACAGTTGGACAATGAATGTTTTCCTCTATAATGTATTTCATGTAATTACAATTCCTTACAAGGGTTTCACTTCTTCTCCAGGCAAAAAATCCTTAATGTGAGAAAGGATAGAAGCCAGGACAAATTAAGAAGAACAAAATCTATCTATGGTTAAGTGTACCTGTGTCTGTCTACATTATACATATATGCATGCATTATGCTAAGCTCATTTGGGACATAAGATCAATGAATAAATCCGCGCTGCACGGAAAGGTGAGGCCGCCCATCGGATGATGGAATCCAAATTCCTCTTCAGCTTGACAAAATAATTCTTAGAAGGAAGGATGGCTCAAGTAAGACACCGGAATAACAAATCGCTTCTTTTCATTCTCGCCAACATAAACAGCCCAGGGTTTGCACTTAAAACAAAACACGAGGTTTGTTCCATGGTTAAAACACTTGTGTATGGAAATGATACTTGCCTATAGCTGACCAAATACAAAAGAAAAGAAAACAACATACAATATTTGGTGACCCAGTTCCATAAAACAACCACATCTGGGAGATTTTAATCCGGGAGACGTCCAATAAGTCTATCACTAGGTACACAATGGACTCTACGACTTAACAAACATCGACCACCAATTATTCTCTCCTACAACTCTCTTTGAATATCCATCAACAAGAAAGGAATGATCAAACCGCAGTTAAAACATTAGCAAACCTCCTGTCTAGTTGAGAGTAGGTGTGTTCATGTCTTGATCTTCTTCTCCATTAGGAAAACTAAATCCTTTCTTCTACAAATGAGCTTCAAGCAGCCATGAATGCTCGAAATTTTCTTGAGGCCGATACGTCAGCTGGTACAAAATAATTAGGCGTACAAAATTGTTTGTAAAAATAAATTACTCTTTTTCTTCTACAGCGCGTCGAGGTCGGAAACAACAACGGTTGCTTCACTTGGGACCCCCAAAGATGATACATCATGTTATAATATATATATTCTTCTAGTCTTCCAATTAAATTCTTAATAGCACAACAGAAAATTTGTTTATTTGCATCGAAATTCGCTTCAGAATCAATTCCGAGACTATCAATATATATAATAAATATTAAATCAATTAATCTTTTTTTACCTCGAAAATTTCGAGACTATTTAAAAGTATGAAACTATATTAAATATGCAATTTATTATATTGATTAGTTTCGTAATTTCTGAATCTATTTTGGAAAAGATTCAGAATTTCCGAGGCTAATTTAAATAGGTTCGGAAATTTCGAGAGTTTTTATTACGTTCGGAATTGCCGAACCTACTTTGACTTATCTAGAAAAGTCTCGGAATTTTCGAACCTACTTTAATTAGTTTCAAAAACTCCGAGACTTTTATTAGTTTCGGAAATTCCAAACCTATTTTCATTAGTCTCGGAAATTCCAAAACTTGTAGTCTCAAAAATTTCGAACCTATTTTGATAAGTCTTGGGAATTCCGACTCTTTTAGTCTCGGAACTTCCGAACCTATTTTAATTAATTTCGGAAATTCTGAGACTTTTATTAGTTTCGAAAATTCCAAACCTATTTTAATTAGCCTCGGAAAATCTCAGGAATTTCTGAATCTATTTTCATTAGTATCAGAAATTCTAAACCTTTTTTTTTTTGTTTTGAAATAGTCTCGAAAATTCCGAACATATCAAATAATTTAAATTCCCACCCCTAGGTATTAACTAATTTTAATTCATATTTTAATTTTGATGTTGATTTTATTTATATATATATATATTTGTAATTTATTTTATTGTGTAAATATATATATATAATAGGGAATAATTGATTAAATTGTTACAATATAAAAATAATTACAATAATAAACTTAATAAGTAATTAAATTAACTTTTAAAATTAAATAAATAATAAATATTTGTGCAGAGAATATAAAAATAGTGAATAAATATAGTATATTATTTTTCTTGAGAAAATGTGTGTAAACAATAGAAAGAATACATCCAAAATTATTAATGTATTAAATAATAAAATAATACATCTAATATATTTTTGGCCTATTTTAATTACTAATATGCTAATTTTAGTTCCTCTATTTTTAAATAATAATTTGGTCTCGTATTTATTAAATTAGTTCAATATTAGTCCTTAATATTATAATGTTATGTTGCCGGTCCGAATAATGATTTTGATTTTAATTTTAATTTTATTTAAATATATATTTATAATTTATTTATTGTGTAAAAATACATGAATAATAATTAATTAAATTCTTAAAATATAAAAATAATTTAAATACTAAATTTAATAATTAATTAAAATAAAATTTAAATTTTAAAAAAATAAATTATAAAAAAAAAATAATGACCTAATTAATTAGACAATTTAAATTAAATACTATTTATATAACAAAAAAAATAAAAAAATAAAAATATAAATATACAAAATATTACCATTATATTATAATTATTACTATGTTTTTATACTACTAATAATTATTTATTTTTATTAATATTTATCATATTAAAAAAATAATAAAAAATATTTATCATATTTCTTTTTTAATAAAAAATATGATGAATATAGAAATTTAAAATTCAAAACAGAATATTTTATAATAACATAAATATGAGACATAAAAAACTTCATCAGACAATCATAGAAAAACTAAATCACCACAACATATTAATGTAATTAAAATGCATTAACTCCAACACCCCTCTTTTCCAAATTCAAAATTATTTCTTCCCCTCAATACTTTAATAACATTTTCAAATTATAATTTATAATTTTTTATTTTAATTAAATTATTTAATCATCTTAATTTATAATTATTATTTTATTAAATCATCATTATTTTCACTAATATATTTGTTAATCACTTGCATATTATACAATACCTAAAAATCTATACCTAACATAAACGAAACAAATTAGCTGTGACCGAGGGAAGTAATTTTTGGTAGTGTACAAAAACAATCGAGAACAAAAATAGGTGGGCTTGGGACTTCGCATTCCATGGAAGCACCTGACAATTAACGACGGCGGTATCAAGATAAAGGTGCGCGAGACGACAGGTACATCTTTAGGTTATTCAGCCGGCGGCAGAAACATACAAGAAATGGTTGTATGAAATTTGTTCTAGCCACAACAGGAAGAGAGCACGATCAAGAAATGGAGGGAGGCATGGACCTCTAGAATGTCCTCAAGAACTTGGAGATGAAAAAGATGGTAAATTTATAATTACATAGTAGTACAAATATTACAGAGAATTAAGATATTTCTTTAAAGAACTTATACAAATTATGACGGTAGGATCTCGAGAAATGAGCCACTTATGAGCGGGCGCATACAAAGCGCCACAACGGGCATGATTACTACACACGAAGGCGAACCAAGTGAAAATAAGTCAATCAATTTATATTGTACTATATTTTTCCTTTAATACGAACAATACATATAATATATAGTATATTTTATTCACCAATGTCATAAAGTACGTTAGTAGTCCCAATTACGACAATCACTGTGTAGACATGGAAGCACGGCAGGAGCGGATGCATGGTTCGCTATGACTATCATAGTGCAGCTCAATAGGATCAACGCCAGCCTAGGCAAACAAGACTCCAATGGAGATTCTCGTGCAGAAAACAATCTCTTCAATTTAATAAATAATATGTTGTCATAAAATATAAATCATTTGTGTAATATATTGAAAATTACGTTATAACAATAAATTCAAATAAACACATGACACATCATATAAATTTTTGCATATAATTCATAAAAAATTTACTGCAAGAAAAACAAAGGGGTGAAGAACATTTGTATTTTCGAATCGGATTTTATCAAATTCGAACCAATCTGAAAATATGGATGTAAGAAAAAAAAATATCCCAAATTTTGAGTCAAACCAAAAACTCAAAATTGCATAAACAAAAATCAAAATTTTTGATAAATTTATTTATTTTAATGCTTTTTATTAAATTATAAAATATATAATAATGAGTTTTATATTTTTACTAAAATATTATGCTTTTATTAAAATATTAAAGATATAACATATAAAATATTTATGATATATATATTTCATTCATATATATATCTGTGAGTCAAAGCGAGGATTAATTAATGGCGGAGGATACTGGGAATGGGGATGATGATATGTATATACATGTTCTTGATCCACAGGTTTTTTCTGCAATGAGTTTATGGACTGTAAGGGACTGCAGTTCTTGCCCGGACAAAATAAATATTAAAAAATCCTTCATTTACATAAAAGGATAAATGCCCCCAAAAACAATACAAAAAATCGATCTTATCTATCTATCCATCCATCTATCAATCTCTATATCAATCTACGTGTGTATACTTTACAACTTGTTCAAGTGGGATGTGAGATCGACGAATAAATCTTGGCTGCAGGGAATGGTTAGGCCTCCCATTGGATGATGGAACCCGAATTCCTCCTCAGCTTGAGACAGCAATTCTTGAAACATAGGATTCTTCAAATAAGACACCGGAACAACAAACCTCTTCTTTTCGCTGCTCTCCCCAACGTAGACGGCTAAGTGCCCCTTTGGAACCTCGGCTGATCTTCTTTCGCTTGATAAAGACCGTCTCAGCTTTTGCATGATGGCCATTGTTGGTTGTATTGGGCTAGAAACTGAGACTTTGATGAATGTATGTTCTGTAAGAAATTGAAGGCTTGTAAGAGATGTTGAGTTTAATCTCTGCATTTTGTGCTGTGTATATATAGGCGAGAAATCAAGAAATGTTGTGTACTAAATGTTCGATCAAGTGGCCAACATTTTGAGTAGGATATGTGTTGCCTATGAACTAATGAGACATAAGCACATGGCAAAATAAATGCAGTTGTCATTCTAAAATCATTAGAATCAGAAAATACCACAATTTTTGTAGTCGATAATATGGTCCCCATAGGACATTATGTACCGGTCAAGTGGTCTCTAGTGCAATAAATCAGACAAACCATTTGCAGTCTTTCACTATCAACAGAGTCTCTGAATAATTTGAATACCAGCCTTCCTTCCCAACCTGCAAACATCGGTCCACCATGTGACTGACCAAATTAATGCAAATGTTATTGCATGGAAGGTCCACATTGGTTCTGTTGCAAGAAGAAATTAACAGCTCATGTGATTGTGCTTCTTAACAGATACAAAAATGTTCGACAAAAGGAGTTTTTCATGAGGTCATCTCCTGCTGTCTGAATCCTAAGTTATTGTTCTGAAGTTATCAGGTGGCAAAATAACATGATTCTTTATTAAAGATTTTGGTTGTCCTGAGATCACTGCACTTTCTTCTTGTAAAGAATTGTAAGAGCACACAATCTTGGTTTATGCAAATCTTATTTCAACATGAACTACATTGCAGTATTTAGGAGGACAGCTTTCAGACAAGAAAGAAAGTCCAGTTAATAATATTTGCTCTTTGAGAACAGGTGACGTAATTCAACAGATTTCTTACAGTCCGGCAGAAGTTAAGACGCTGATCAGCCCTAATGACCACATGACGTATCCACACAATAGATGTGGCGATTGATTTTGTTAATATAATACAAATATATTATATGAATCCGTAAAACATTATAATAATCCACACAATACAGTACTGATCCACACAAGCTTGCATTAACAAGTAATTATTTTTAGTGTTAAAAGCTACATTCTGAGAGGAATATTAACAAGGAGAATTGTGTAGACTGCCAAATCACACTTGGACAATGAATGTTCTTACTCTGCAATGTGTTTCTTACAACTCTAATTTTTTACAAGAGTTCCAGTTCTTTAATTTCCAGGCCAAGTGTAATAAAAGGATCAGAGCCAGGACAAATTAAGAAGAACCAATTCTAGCTATCTATGTTTAAGTGTCTCTATACTGTCCATATATACATTATGCTATGCTCACTTGAGACATGAGATCGATGAATAAATCAGGCCACCCATCCGATAATAGAACCCGAACTCCTCTTCTGATTGAAGCAGAAATTCTTGGAACAAAGTATGGTTCAAGTAGGACACACCAAAAATAACAAATCACTTTTGTTCATTCTCGCCAGCCTAAACAGCCAACTGCCCCTTCGGAACTTCATCTGCTGAACTTCTTTCGCTTGATAAGGATCGTCGCAGCATCTGTTGGATGGCCATTGTCTATAAATTGTAATGTTTTTCCATTATAGTTACCCTAGAGTTGATAAACAGTAACTACAATTTACTTTGTGGCTGTCGAAACGTTGTCCCAAATGTCTCAAATCTTAACTAGACATCATTCAGAAAATTTCATAGCCAGCTTTCGAAAATGATCGCATGTTAAAACATGAATGCAATATTATTTCTGGCATATAGATGCTGTCCAAAAGATCTCAAAGTAACCCTCTTCGGATTTTCCTCTTCATCATGAATTAATAAGGCATTTACTCTATTTACGTTCACTTTTTTCCAGTTTTGGCACTATTTATGGATAATAATATTTTAAAAAATATAACACCAAATTTATATTTCTTCTCGTAAAACATAAAACCAAATATTCAATTTTTTATCATTTCTATAACTCAAAAGTTCTAAATATATCTATCTGAACCGAGATTTTCGGTGGACATGTTGATTGTAGTTATAAGTTCAGTCATACACACTTTATATATATATATATATATACAAATTGATATCAAAGGTCGATGAAATTATTATGCCGAAAGGTATACTTATACAACAAGAAAAAGGCTAGTAAAGAAAAAGGCTAGAATATTGGGTTATACATGAAAAGGCTATATACGATGGAGAGAAGATCAAGGATATAATTTATGATTTCCAATAATATCAACTTGATGAAATGGTGAACATCGATCATACTTAGTTATATGTATTTTCAAATATTACAATTCTTTGAGTTCCAAAAGGTTGTCCTTATACCATCAAGATCAAATGTCCCTACACTTAATAAATCACACTGACTGACTTGTCACAGTCTTCTTACTCTGTTTCCCTTTCAATTCGGATAATAGAATTCATAAAATTCATTACATCATAGAAAATTGAATACCAGCGTTTCAAAACGATTGAGCTGGTTATATTTCTTAATAGACATTGAATCATTAAACTTATATTCGGAAAATATATTGGTTAAGGGGTGGCCTGGTTATGGTGTTGACTCAGCACATTGTAATGATATATAGTTGTTTTTTAAACAACAAATATGTATATTGTATTATATTAATATAAATTGTCAATTGTTAGTTGTGCAAATATGTGACATGTGCTTAGATCAATAGTGACATGTGTGGTGTGGAATATTATAATATGTACGGGTGAGTACGGTTTGAGTATTTGCAAATATGCAGGTATTTAATATTCGAATCGAATCGAACAAATATTCGAAATTGCGAACCGTATCCGAACCAAACCAAAATTGAAATAATATATATATTAAAAAATAATTTAAATTCTAATTAAATACAAATATTTGCAAATATTTCAAATATCCGAACAGAAACCGAACCGAATATAATTATTAATATAAATTTTAAAATATAATAATATAAATATATAAATATATTCGGTTTGGTTAACCGAACAAAACAATATCAAATATCCGGTATTTGTATTCGAACCGAACTTGTTCGGTTAACTGAAAATTCGGTTCAATGCAGTTCGATTCATCGGTTCGACGGTTTGATTCAATTTTTTTGCCCACTGCTAATCATACGTGGTCAATTCATTATATTATATTAACATTTGTATATTGTCTATTTATCACTTATTTGTTTTTCTAATATACGCTTGTGAGTGAAGTGCTCAATAATATCATTGATCATCCTAACGCTTGTGAGTAACAAACACAAAAGCTACTATTATTTAATTCAATAAAATAAAATAATTGATGTATTTTGAAAGAGAAAAGGACTGAGTTTGCGAGTTAAGAAAATGGAAGCAGACATACTTATGCTTATCAACTGATTTAAACAATGCAGGGATTTCCTGACCAGAGGATTTTATACAGCCCTTCTAAGCAGGATCAGAATCCATAATCGGCCTATTTTAGCTGTCTATTGTCTTTAATTTATCATTTTTACTGGGGTAGATACATAAAAGGATTGGAATTTGGAATTACTGTGTTATTACGATGAATATACTGCTGAGTTACTGGCCGAATCATGTAATGCGTTACATTATGAAATTGATCGACATGCTTTTTCTTGCAATGTATTTGTGCAGTATAATTTTTCTGGTAATTAAGGATTTTACAGTTCTTGTCCGGGCGAAAAAAAGTCCTCAATAAATGAAGGGATAAATGCCCCAGAAAACAATACAAGAATCTGTCTCGTTACCTAACAATCTTTCTATCTATTTATCTACACATGTATGTATTTAATTTATTGCTGCTTGTTCAAGTGGGATGTGAGATCGACGAATAAATCCTCGCTGCATGGAATGGTGAGGCCTCCCATTGGATGATGGAACCCGAATTCCTCCTCAGCTTGAGACAGCAATTCTTGAAACATAGGATTCTTCAAATAAGACACCGGAACAACAAACCTCTTCTTTTCGCTGCTCTCCCCAACGTAAACGGCTAAGTGCCCCTTTGGAACCTCGGCTGATCTTCTTTCGCTTGATAAAGACCATCTCAGCTTCTGTACAATGGCCATTGTTGGTTGTATTGAGCAAGAAAATGAGACTTTGATGAATGTATGTTTTGTAAGAAATTAAGGCTTGTAAGAGTTGTTGATTTTAATCTGCATTTTGTGCTGTATATATATAGGCAAGAAACAAAGAAATGTGGTCTACGTACTAAATGTTCGATCAAGTGGCCAACATTTTGAGTAGGATAGGTGTTGCCTATGAACTAATGAAATATAAGCACATGGCAAATAAGTGCAGTTGTCTTTCTAAAATAATTAGGATAAGAAAATACCACAATTTTTGTAGTCGAAAATTGGTCTCCTTAGGACATTATGTACATATCCGTCAAGTGTCTCTTCTGCAATAAATCAGACCGACCCATCTCTCGTTGTCAACTAAAAATTTGAATGGCATTCTTCAGAGCATTGGTCCACCATGTGATTATCGAAATAATGTAAATGCTGTTGCATCAAAGGTCCACATAGTTTCTGATGCAAGAAAATTTTGGCATGTCATGTGATTGTGCTTGCTAACGGATTAAAAAATGTTCGAAACGAATGAGTTATTGGTGAGGTCATAACTACATCTTAATCCTAAGTTATCGTGTGGTAATATGAATCTTTTTTACAGACTTCTTGTCCTGTGATGTGATCACTGCAATTTCTCCTTTGTTCTCCGAATATGCGTTGGCTCAGGTGCTGAAAAGCACGATTGAAGATAGTTTGATAGATTTCTTGATGCATGCCAATACAAGAATCGAGATAGCGCAATTGTCATCAAAGGATTCGAATACAAAACAAAAGGTTAGGGGTTTGTTTAGATAGAGGTTTTTTTTTGTTTTTTTGTTTTTTTTTTTTTTTTTTTTTTTTTTTTTTTTTTTTTTGAGGTTTTTGGAAATTTGGAAGTTTAGAAAAATTAAAAAATTAGTATTTGATTTGATGTTTTGTAAGAGAAAAAATATATTTGATTTGATATTTTATGAGAGATATTTATAGAATCGTAAACCATAAAAGCCAAAGGAAATAAACAAAAAATAAGAAAATTTTCAAATGAAAAAAAAAAAAAAAAAGCCCCAAAAGTAGAAAAATACTTATTGGAGGCCTAAGTGATCTTGGATGGCCAAAAAATGTTGGATGTTGTGGCCAAGTGAGAAGTTCTGTTGTGGGGATTATTTTTGGATGAAAAGTGCAAATTTCATCCAATTTCAAGTACAAAAATAAAATATCCAAATAAAAAGTCCTCAAAAGTTGGTAAGAAGAATGACAATAATGGATTCCTAAAAAGTGATAGCAAGATCTGAAAATATTGATCTTGTAATAACTATTTCAATCCATGAACATATTTGCATAATTTCTTATATTTTCAACAAATATCATATATTCAAAGTTGGACATATTTCTAATATTATTGTTGAAGAGAAAGTTTATGAATTTTAATAGACAAAAAACTGAATATAAATATTCCTGCATCTTATTACATCCCTTCGTATTACAATTTATAATGTCATATAGAAAGATCTAGGAGACTTAATTATCCTTTGAATAATGAAAAAGTCACATTCATAAATTAGTAATTTAAATGACTATTTAAAATGCATTAATTCTAAGATATTGTTGAAGAGAAAGTTCCTAAAAATTATATTATTGCCTTTCTATCTAATATCATAAAATTGAGAATTCTCAATTGATTAACTATTGAGATAATTATGAAAATCATGGTGCATAGACTATTGTTACATCCAACATTATCTTTCTACTTTGGATTAGAACAGCATTTTGATACTATTACAAATATGTGAATATAGGTTCGAATGATTTTTTTATTTATATTTATTTTAAGTTATTACAAAGTGGATGAGTGGATTATTTTAGTCTTTTATTAAACATTGTTCCTACGTATTACTGTTAGAAACTATATTGTGAGAGGAACACTTGGAGAAATATACAAAATTATGTAGTGCCAAATCACAGTTTTGGGCAATTAATTTTTACTTTGCAATGTATTTCTTGTATCTGCAATGTCTTACAAGGGTTTCAGCTCTTTTCCAGGCAAAAAATCCTTAGTGTAAGAAAGGATAGAAGCCAGGACAAATTAAGAAGAACCAAATCTAAGCAATCTATGTTTAAGTGTCTGTGTGTGTGTGTGTCTATAGTGTCCATATATACATTATGCTAAGCTCATTTGGGACATAAGATCGATGAATAAATCCGCGCTGCACGGAATGGTGAGGCCACCCATCGGATGATAGAACCCGAACTCCTCTTCGGCTTGAAGCAACAATTCTTGGAACGAAGGATGGTTCAAGTATGACACCGGAATAACAAATCGCTTCCTTTCATTCTTGCCGGCATAAACAGCTAAGTGTCCCTTTGGAACTTCGGATGCTGATCTTCTCTCGCCGGATAAGGATCTTCTCAGCATCTGTCGGATGGCCATTGTCTGTACGTAAGTTTGTAAGAATATGTGAAGGCTGAGGTAGATGAACTTTTTGCTACTTTGATGATCGAAATCCTACTAGGAGTGGGTGTGTATATATAGAGCCTAGTAACTACAAGTATCGAATGAGTGTAATAACATAAGCACGTGATGGATCACATGAATTTGTCTGTCTGTCTGTTTTTCAATCATCTTCAGGAATTTCAAATCGGAACAGATTATAAGGGCAGCCCAGCTTAAAAATGTTCCCTACCAACTCAGATATATAGCCCCATCCATCACGTGGCCACCTGAGGGATTTATTACAAATTTTAATGCCATGTATTCCAATATATAGTTTGATTTTATTTTAGACAATCTTCATTATTCAGAGTTCAGACAACACACGAAAAACCTCTATTGTCTTACAGTACTTGGAGAATTGACTGTTACTGTTAGTTCCCATCTTGTACTTAATTATCATAGATATTATTAGACCTTGTCTTTAAATTTTGGCAACGGTTGGAGTGTTGATTAGGGTTAACGAGCACCAGCTAATAGTATACACAGCACAGGCTACGGTTGATCTTAGCACAAGATTGTATGTTAACATAACACCAATGTTGATGGAACATTATAATAGTCCACGTAGCACATGTCACGTTAATTTGATCTCAGTACATACCATATATATATATATATATTAGCATAGGACATGTTCATTGTATGAATTGGCGGCACATGGTAATAGTTCATACAAAACATACCATGTTTAAGGACTTATGTGTTGTGGACTATGATCATGTGTTGATTAGTCCTAGTCATTACTCTAACATTCCCCAAGATTTTACTTTTCATGAATAAGGATCACAGAGAAGAAGAAAATACATTTTTGGTCAAAGAGTGACTTAACTGTTAGGGTGCAAACCCAAGTTCTACATCGTAAGTTGTGAAGAAAATTTCAAACCTTATAAATTTGAAGTGAACTCCGCTAGTATGAGGCCTTTTGGAGAATATCCAAAAACAAATCCGTGCGGTTTCAGCCCAAAGCGGACAATATTACTAGTATTGAGTTGACCCATTCTCAACACTGGTATCAGAGTCCGGTTAGATGGTGAAGTTAATTGGGGTGGCATTAGGCATTGGTTGTGGTGGTGGGCTCGCCCTCGTGACCTGCGGATGTGCCTTGTGTCGAAAGTCTCCTGGCGGTGTTGGGTCGGTCCCGATTGAGGTAGTCAGGCAGCGAGTCCCTTTTTGTGATAGGCGGTACAAGGTGGGTAGGGAAAGTCCATTGGTTGGTCCTTGGTTTGAGGGGAGGATTGTTGGGGTGCAAATCCAAGTCCCACATCGGAAGTTGTGAAAAAAATTTCACACCTTATAAGTCCCAACTGAACTCTACTAGTATGAAGCCTTTTGAAGAATATCCAAAAACAAATCCATGCGGGTTTAGCCAAATCGAACAATATCATTATAGAGATTTTGGAGCAAGAAAATGAGTTCGTTGGATGATAGTCATAATGACTCCGACCCTTTCAGTAAAATGATCACTTCAACAAGTTTTTCTTGAAAATGTATTTGTCGAGTGTATTTTCAAGTTAGGAATTACAATTTTTGTCTCAACAAAAATAATCCTCCCTGTTTATAAAAGGAAAAAAATCTGGAAAAATAATAATAATAATAATAATAATAAATCTATCTCATTATCTATCTTTCTATCTAGTCATCTATACATGTATGTATTATATGCCTTGCTCAATTGGGATGTGATATCCACAAATAAGTCCTCGCTGCATGGAATGGTGAGGCCTCCCATTGGATGATGGAACCCGAATTCCTCCTCAGATTGAGACAGCAATTCTTGAAACATAGGATTCTTCAAATAAAACACCGGAACAACAAAGCGCTTCTTTTCGCTGGTCTCCCCAACGTAAACAGCTAAGTGCCCCTTTGGAACCTCGGCTGATCTTCTTTCGCTTGATAAAGACCGTCTCAGCTTTTGTACAATGGCCATTGGTGGTTGTATTGGGAAAGAAAATGAGACTTTTATGAAGATATGTTTTTGTAAGAAGCAAAGGCTTGTAAGAGTTGTTGATTGTAATCAGCATTTTGTGTTGTATATATACATATAGGTGAGAAATCAAGAACTGCTGTGTACTAAATGATCGATCAAGTGGCCAACATCTTAGTAGGATATGTGTTGCATATGAAAATAGTGAGACATAAGCACATGGAAAATAAATGCACTTGTCTTTGTACAATCATAAGGATCAAAAGATACCACAATTTTTGTAGTCGAAAATATGGTCCCGTTAGGACATTATGTATCCATCAAGTGTCTTCACTGCAATAAATCAGAAAGACACATTGCAACTACTAATCAGATTGGATCAGAGTCCCCTAATCATTTGAATGCCAGCCTTCCTTCCAAACCTGCTTGCATTGATCGGCCCACCATGTGATAGACTAGAATGTAAATGTTATTGCATCAAAGGTCCACATTATTGTTTCTGATGCAAGAAGAAATTGACAGTTCATGTGATGTACTTCTTAAAAGATACGAAATGTTCGACTCAAACAAGTTTCTGGTAAGATCATCATGTGGTCTGAATCCTGATTAACATATATTTCCAAAGTTGTTATCGATCCTGTGATATATGAACATGATATGTTTTTTACAGACTTGGTTGTCCTGAGATCACTTCATTTTCTTCTTGTATAAGATTGTAAGAGCATACAAGATTGATTTAAGCAAATCTTGAAATGATTCTTAGAAAATCCCTCATTTCCCCATTTGATGAAAGTAACCATGAATTGAAAATAACCACAAGAAAGATTATTATTTCCAAAATTTTACTCACTTTGAAGAGAGAAACTATTGTCAAATATTACTAACTTATCCTTTTTTGGTTTTGTCATTTGTGTTCGCATCCAAAATAGCCCAATGAGTCAGTCATTGCTTCACCGTGAAGAGGCTCCCCTCCGGAAACATGATTTGCGTGATGTGGAATCCAATTTAAAACAAAAGAAATTTATAGGAAAATGAGTGTACATTATTGTGCATCTAACATGATCTGTCTATTGTGGCAGCAGTTAAGGTAGCAGATGAGATAAAAAAGATAGCATATGATAATAGTCTACAGTGGACATGTTATGATTGAACTCATACACATTAGCAAGTTATAAACTGACATCATATGATAATAATCCATACCATATATATCACGATTAATTTCAGTAAAAAGTGTATAATAACACTATATAAACATATCATAACAATCCAAATAGCATATGCTAATTTAGTTCAAGAAATATACACTGAGAAGTAGTTATTCATGTATTGATTAGGGCTAATAGACGACCCCATAGCCGGGATCTAGCTAGTATTGTTGACTGCAAAACATATAAATAGTTGGGAACTATTTAGTTATTGCAAAGTGGAGATCTATACGTTACTCTCTTGTTAAATTTCTTCCTCATAATCATAATAATAATAATATTAATACACGCTCGCATTAAAATTCGTATTAAAAAGTTTGAGCATATTTTTAGGTGAGAGGAGAGTATATATTGTTGATAGGAAATATTTTAAGAGGAACACTTGGAAATTAATTGGAGATTTGTGTAGAATGGCAAAATTCACACAATACTATTTGGATAACGGATTGGAAAAACTGTTCAAATCACATTTAGACAAGTGTGTTTGTTTGGGGGATTGGATTTTAATCTCAATGTTCATCTCATTTTTTTCCCCAAAAACATCAAATCAAACACCAATTTTTCATTTTTTATATTATACTAAAAATCAATTTTACATTCAAAACATCACATCAACACCTATTTATATCACATCATACAACTATTCAAATTCAAACTTTTTACTATTCAAATCCCAACTCAAAATCCAAACCTCCAAACAAACACCAATTAGTGTTCGTCCTCTCTGTAATGTATTTGTGTTAACTGCATATTCTTAACAAAGGATTTCAGTTCTCTTCTGGCAAAAAATCCTTAGTGTAAGAAAAGGAAATCTATATATGTTTTAAGTTAAGTGTATACGTGTGTATGTATACTAAACATGAATACATTATGCTATGCTGGTTTGAGACATGAGATCGATGAATAAATCAGCGCTGCACGGAGTGGTTCCAGTATGACATGGGAATAACAAATTGCTTCTATTCTGCTTGAAACAGCAATAATCTTGGAATGAAGGATGGTTCAAGTACGACATGGGAATAACAAATTTCTTCTTCAATGTGTTTCGAAAGAGGAAAAAAGTTTTCGAATATTGAGTGATTCTGTCAGTAGAAAAAAATGTATGCATAATTAAACACAAGTGATCAACTGATGCCACATATCATGAAATTGGTTACAGGTTTTTCTTTAAATGTGTTTGTGGAGTTTCAAATTTCTTGTAAGAGATTACAATTCTTGTCCGGACAAAAAATCCCATGTTTTTTTATAGGATACATGTACGGAAAAATGAAAAAAAAAAATCAATCTCATTGTCTGTCTATCTATCTATCTAGATATGTATGTATTCTATGCCTAACTCAATTGGGATGTGATATCGACGAATAAGTCCGCGCTGCATGGAATGGTGAGGCCTCCCATTGAATGATGGAACCCGAATTCCTCCTCAGATTGAGACAGCAATTCTTGAAACATAGTATTCTTCAAATAAGACACCGGAACAATAAATCGCTTCTTTTTGGTGCTTTCCCCTACGTATATGGCTAAGTGCCCCTTTGGAACCTCCGGTGATCTTCTTTCGCTTGATAAAGACCGTCTCAGCTTTTGTATGATGGCCATTGTTCGTTGTATTGGGCAAGAAAATGAGACTTCTACGAATATATGTTTTTGTAAGAAAAGAAGGCTTGTAAGAGTTGTTGGTTGTAATTCGCATTTGTGTTGTATGTATATATAGGCGAGCAATAAAGAATACCGGGTGCAAAATGTGTGATCAAGTGGCCAACATGTTGAGTAGGATATGTATGGCCTATGAAAATAGTAAGACATAAACACATGGAAAAATAAATGCACTTGTCTTTGTATAATTTATGTAGTCGAAAATATGGTCTGTTAGATATATAATAATATTATTATATTTCAATAATCAATTTATCGAAATAATTCGATAATCACGTCGAGTCTAGATTAGAACCTTTTTCCGTAAAAACGAATACGCCCCGGTAGTGCCTCTGGTTCATGGCGCAACGTTCCCAAAGATAAAACGACGTTCGTCTCTGAATTAAGTGGCACCCCAATATTTCGGAGCTCCGGCAAACTAATAGCGTGTCACCGGAAATAATATACATTAGAGAGAAGAGAGGAAGAATTGTTATATTCGAATGAGTGAGTTAGAAGCCTTTTTATAGGCATCCACCAAGTGAGGAATTTAAAGACAAATCGAAACGTCAAGCCGGTTATTACAATTTAATTATTTGAAATTACATTCGTAACCGGCCGATCATTCATTCGTCAATTAAAAATTTGAATTTCAAACAGACATTAACGAAATTGATTTTGGCTTTGCACGATTCTCAAAAATTAAATTGCATAATTGATTGTCAAACCATTTAATGCAAAGCCACGTGCATAACATTCATTTTCCATGCAATCTCATGCAAGCTTATGTCTCTCATACATGTATATTTATGCATGTTAATATGTATGTCTTTGAAGTCATGCATGCATGTATTCTTTTTCATTGCACATGTATTAAAATTTGCTTGCATGAAAATTTGAAATGCATTACACATGCATGTATGCATGCATTCACTATATTTGGGCTATTCCTTGGTCCAATTAATTTAATTTCTTGGATTTTTGGGTTTCACAAATTAGTTTTAATTTCGATTAAACTCCGGAGCAAAAATGGATTAAATAAATCCATTCTTTTTATCAGATCCAAGCCTCAACCCATGACCTCAGATCTAGTTGGGCGAGCGGCGCGCGCCGGTGGCTTACTGAATTCTATGTGCTTAAGCCATATTATAACGATCATTTTTCAGCCCATATACATTTCAACTCACCGAATAATCGGTTTAAAATATTATGAATTTAATATAAATTAAATTCCATCGACTAAATAAATAGTCGATTAACCGATTATCCAACATAATCCCCGTTAGGACATTGTGTATACATCAAGTGTCTCTACTCTAATGCAATAAATCAGACAAACATATCACAACTACTACTAGTATAGGAGTCCCCTAATAATTCAAATGCGAGCCTTCCATCCGAACCTGCAAATCTCGGCCCACCATGTGATCGGCCTAAATATAATGTTATTGCATCAGAAGGCCAAATTGCTTATGATGCAAGGGCAGCTCATGTAACTCAGGTTGTTCGACGATTACAACTGATTTCTTGGTGTGGTCTGAATCCTAGTTAGTTTTTCATTAATTTACCCTGTAACTGTAAGAGCACACAACAGATGATTGCAAAAATGAAGCCGGCATCAAATCCCTTATAATTTCAACATGAACCACAAGGTAATATTTAGACAATACGGTTTACAAACAACGACAAAAGTGTCCCGCTAATATTTGTTCTTTGAGAACAGGTCAGTCCGGGTGCTAAACACAGTTAAACAGTACTTGGACATTACGGATAAATTGAAACAATATATATATATATTCTGAACATATGCCTAATTGTCGCCGTAATAAATATATCCTGCAAGTATCAAAATTTCACCAATTCGGTACATTGATCGCGTGTGAGTTTCATTGGATATCAAATCCACATGTGTTGCCATTAATTTACACGTGACACAATTGTCAAGAATTGAAGAATAATGGAGCATTAGAAGCTAAACGCTACAAAATGAATTGGAACCGAGGGAAGGAAGAAGGTGAGAAAGAATATGGAGGTTAGGTAATTGGGTTGTTTCATGGGCTTCTTTTTTATTATGTTTCTTTTATTTGTAGCCCATTATCTATTAATTTAAGCCCAATTATAATAGTTTGTTAGAATTAGATTCTGTTTGTTATTTATGTCAGAATCGTATGTATATAGTGATGTACTGTAAATGAATTTTATTTTTGTGTGAGAAATACAAAAGATCATCTTCCCAAATTCTCTTCATGGTATCAGAGCTTTGAATTATCCTGGCATTACTTCAATCTTATTTCCCTTTCATCGTATCTGTGAGATTGTGATCTCAGTGTTGCAATGGCAACTGATTCCCCCATATCTGGTGCTTCATCAAACTTCACCGCTGGTAATACTGCTGCCTCATCAATGGCATATTTGAAACTCCCTCCTTCTGATCATCCAGGGATGAGTCTGGTGACCACATTACTCAATGACTCAAACTATTTGATTTGGAGCCGTGGCATATTGCGGTCACTTGCCGCTAAGGGCAAAGAAGGCTTCATTACTGGAGAAATTCAAAAGCCTAAGGAACCTGTGGCTGCAGCCATTTGGAGGATAACTGATAACATGATTCTCCAGTGGATGCTCAACTCTATTTCACCACAGCTAACAGATGCTTTTGGTTATGTAAACTCAAGCCATGAACTGTGGAACATACTCAAAGAGAGATATGGGCAGTGCAATGGTCCTCTCATCTATCAACTAAAAAGGGAAATCTCAAATTTAACCCAAGGTAACATGAGTATAGCCTCTTACTTCACTAAAATTAAGAAGCTAAAGGATGAACTGTGTTGTTTGGCACCTATTCCTGAAAAAAAAGAAGGAAGTTGAGAAGTACATTCATCGGCAGGATATAATGGACTTCCTTATGGGGTTGAATGACACATTTGATGCAGTTAGGACTCAAGTCCTCATGCAAGATCCCCTTCCTTCACTTAACAAAATCTATGGAATGCTCTACAGTACTGAAAAACAACAAGAGATTCATGGGATTGTTCATGATACCAATCCAACTGTCTTCTTCAGCTCCCACAGGCCAACCCTCAAGCCTTTTGACAAGAAGAAAATTGACAAAAGAGGGCTGATGTGTGAGCACTGCAAGAAAACTGGGCACACTAAAGAGACATGTTTCAAATTACATGGAACTCCTTATTGGTTTAAGACAATTCAAGAGAAAAAGAAAAAAGAACACGGAGTTGGCTCTTCAAACTTGTATGTTGAGAGCGCACTCCAGATTGATGAGGAGAAATTAACTGGAAATGCTGCTTGGAATTCTGGTGCACTCACATAATTAATTCAAAAAGATATTCAAAAGGCCTTTGACAGAGTGAAATCACCTCTTGATCATCTCAATATGATGAAGGTTGATCACTCAGGTAAAAGGTGTTTAAATGTGCTTTCTGATATCAAAATGACTTATTCTTGGATATTGGACTCTGGGGCAACATGTCATATTAGCAATAACCCCATGCACTTTAAGTTCTTGAATATTTTGAAGAAACCTGTGAGGATACACTTGCCTAATGGATCAGTGCAAACTGCAACACAAACAGGAAATATTATGTTGAATGATTCCATCATTATGTATGATGCTTATCTCATCCCTGATTTCAAATATTGTCTCATATTAGTGCCTAGATTATGTTTGGATTCTAATCTATCTGTGAGTTTCAGAGCTAATGAATGCTTGATTCAGGACTAGAGAAGTAAAACTGATGTTGGAAAGGGAAAACTCAATGGGAACTTATACCATCTACTGCGTGAGTCTTCTTTGAAGGTGCTCGCTACAGAAAATGAGTTTCCTTAGCATCACAAACTAGGACATCCGTCCAATAAAGTGCTAATACACATGCCTTATGTTTTAATTCTGCTGTAGTTAATAAACCTTGTGATACATGTCACTTTTCTAAACAAAGGAAGTTGCCTTTTAATGAAAGTAGTTCATATGGTTCATGTTGCTTTGACTTGCTTCACTTGGATATTTGGGGGCCGTATAGTGTTCCTTCCTCTAATGGAAGTAGATATTTTTTAACTGTGGTGTATGATCATAGCAGAGCAATTTGGACTTACTTAATGAAATCAAAGTCACAAGCACTGAAAATCTTTACTATTTTCCTAAAGCTTGTTGAAAATCAGTTCAAAACTAAGGTAAGAAAGGTGAGGACAGACAAAATGGTGCAGAATTTCTAAGTCAGTGTTTTCAGAACCTACTGCATGAAAATGGCATTATGCATGAAAAGACATGTCCTTACAATCAACAGCAAAATGGAAGGGTGGAAAGAAAGCACCAATATCTCTTGACTGTGATGAGATCATTGTTAATGCATTCCAATTTGCCTACATCATTTTAGGGGAAATCACTTTTGACAGCAACATATCTTATATATCTTCTTCGTACTCCAGTGATCGAGTGGAAATGTCCCTATGAGCAACCAAATATAGACCACTTGAGAGTTTTTGGATGTCTTTGTTTTGCCCTAAATATTGATCTTTACAGGTTAAAGCTTGGGAAGAGAGCAGTAAAATGCATACTTGTGGGATATGAGCAAGGAGCAAAGGGTTATAGAGTCTTGGACATCAAAAGAAATAAGGTTCTAATTACTAGGGATGCCATCTTCTATGAGGATGTCTTCCCTGGTTTTGAAGATAGATCCGGCTGCAACCTTGAGATGCCACAATGTCATACACTGCCTACTGTGGGAGAGAACCAAAGTGTCCCTCACACACCTAATAATTTGTCACCAGGCATAAATATTGAAAACACTGAGGCAACACAAGGGAACAGCCCGCTGACTGCATCAATTCCCACTGATGACTCAAATGTGGGGGATTTCCAAAATATTGATGAAAACTACATACCACCAGCATCTCTCAGTCTCAGTCCTACACAAACTACTTCAGAGGAGTTTGATAGACCTCATAGAGCCAAAAGAAAGCCATACTGGATGAAAGAT